TTATGACTTTTCTCTTACCTCTTTTTCTATGCAAAACGATAAAGATGTATTTCATACTAGGAGAAAATCCAACGCTAAAAGATGAACAAATTTGCTATTCATTTAATTTCGGATGAAGCATTTTTGTCTAAGTAAAAACAACTCTTCAGAAGCAGCATGAGCAAGCACGAGATCTTATCTCATAAAAAGAAAAACTCAAAGGAAAAAAATAACACTCTTTGAAACACTTTTCTTCAGTTATATGAGTAATTCATTTAGTGTCTAAGTGAGAGTAAAGCGAAGACTACCATCATCGCCATGAAAATGACATTTTTGACATGTTCCCATTATTGTGCATTTTTTTTAAAAAAAGCAATTTCTTCAAAAGCTAAACTAATAGGGAAAACCAATCAGTAAATCATGGCTATGTATCAATTTTGTAATCTTTTCCTAGATAAAGAATCATATTTTGCTGAAACTTTGTACAAGTATTGAAATATTAGATATAAAAAGAGAGATAAAACAATAATAAACTATTCGAACGGGTTACAAGAAAATAATCTTTATACTAACCGATGTAATAAAGATTCACGGCGGTGCATAGTCATTACATCTAATAGTGTAAAATATGAAACTAGCATGATCAGCCGACAGAATAGAATCTGGATAAATTTAAAATTGATTGTAAAAAGAAAAAATATCATTGATTTGGATATGGAACATTCAAGAAAAATGATGACAGTGCACAAACATTTTTTATGACCCATCTACTTCATTGAAAATATAGTAATATTTTTAGTTAATTTCATTTAGTGATACTAAGGTTTATGCATACATATATCTCTCAGACAAACATCTAAAATGAAAGAAACGGTATTGAAAGCGAAACAAGATCCGTATTTATGTTTGCAATTTCAAACTCGTTTTATGGCTCATTTATTATGCATTAGAAAGAAAATTCGGTATCGGTTATAAGTATAAGAATATACTAATAAATCGAGAAGAAAATCATCGGCAGTTTCTTTTTTGGACCATTGGTGAATATATTTCCGATAGCCAGTTCATGTCTACTAAGACTACTCTCACTTTTGACTTATATGTTAAAAGGAATTGTGTCAAGTTTTTCAATGAGCTACGACAGAGTTGTTGTCTTTCTATTCTTACAGTTTAGATTAGTACATTTATTGAGAGTTTTCTTATGTTTCTTACATCAACAGCAATACTTCGATGTTCGAAATCGTTTAAAAGAAAGTAAGAATACATAAAGCAGAAATATTCTCTAAACAATACAAACTTGGTATTCGATAGAAGTTCTTCGTTTTGAAATTGATGATTTTATTTTGGAATTGAATGAAGACAAACGAGAAAAAGTTATGTTTGTTTATAAATTAATTCTGGTACATAAGATGCAAATAATGAATGTAATCAAATTATAAATAAAATAGCTTTATTTCAATTATGTTCATTTTTCTCGCGGAACGCAAAAAATGACATCTGACGATAAGAACATGAAATTCTCTTTGACGCTTGAGTTCTTACTTCATCTTTAGTTTTTTTTCTCTACTCATGAACAGTATAAAATGTTCGAGAACGTTCTACATGGAAAACTTCCATTTATTTATCAATCGACGTATGCACCAAATCAATTGAGCTAAGCATAGCTACTTTAATCAAGAACACAACACATCGCATTTGATGAGCGTCGATATGTTCTCAATTTGCATCCATTTTTATACAAGATTACTTTATATCAATACTATCAATGTTGGTATGCTGTTCATATCAACTACTGATTATACATCAACTATGTATTTGAAAAAGGTTGATCCTTATCTAACGAGACAATGTTCTCAATGAGCAACTGAGTCTTAGCTGTCAAGTAAAATTCTTTTTTGAATTTTGATCTGAAATCTTGTTCACATAAAATTACAATTAGATTAACATATAGAAAGGATTTTCAGCATTTTTACACTCAATCTGTTCGAATTCTGAAATTTTTGAAGGATTCAGATGGTGAGACTCATTAGAAGAAATATCGATACTGACAGATACGTCGGTACCGACAGTCAGGTCTATATCGAAAAGCATGTATGAAAGTTGATAGTTTTACACTTGAAATCTATATAAAATCACGTAGCACTTGCATACATTTGTATAATTTATTGCAAGTTTTCATCTATTCTCTTGACAGCCCATATTCAGCGTTGGCAATAACTATAAAAATAAGAATTCAACAAGATTTATGAGACGCACGGACTATCAAAGCAATAAAATGCGTTTAATTATTTGAAATCCATTTGCATTCTTTTTGCTGTTCTCTTCTTAAACCTCTAAGTTAGTATAATATGCGACATGAAACTTGCACTTTCAAGCCTTGAGCAAACTCTAAATGCTTTGGACAAATAGGATAGTCGTTTTTGAGAGGCGATAAAACACATGAAGCACACAAATGTATTTAAATTTACCAGTGCTGCATTTCGCTAAGAAGTGCAGCTGGATCAAAATGTGCTGGAAGCACAGATACGTGTTTATTTCAACTGCATGTCAATTACTTTGATTTTTAGAGAAGTCACAACACACTCAAAAGATACGATTACTTGTATTTCATCTAGTATATAAGCGCCTTTAATCGTGTTCTTGTAAATTTTTTGGAAAATAAGCATTTGAGGATGTTCGATGGAGACACAAAATATAATTAAGTGTCGCTAATCTGTGTTTGATGCTAACATGAAAATCTAGGTAGCAAAGATACGTTCGCATTTTCTAGCAACAGATTCAACGGTATATTCGATATGTTTGTCACCATATCTAATGTTGCGTTCATTGGTTGCCGATGGGAAGGTCGTTTGCTACGTTCGAACATAGTCTTCGTTGATCGAATACTGGTACGAATTCAAATTTAGGAAAAGGATTTCATTAGAGACGAATATCTAATCGAATTTTTAAATATGAATACAAAAGATGAGATGAATCGCGTTCGTTGTTGTTCTTAGTTCGTAGTACGATATCTCTAGAGTCGATGATCAAAACACTTGGAGATATTGAAAAGTTCCTGATTCAAGGTATTTCTTTGCAAAAATGTATTGAATCGGTTTGAACAAAACTTATGAACATGGTACTGGTTATCCGTGGGAGAGGAGATTGACCATCAAGCTATGAACTGACTCTCTTGAAATTTTTGTCATGTTCAACAAAAATAGAATGAACTTCTTTGAACAGAAACGTATCGAACAAAGGATCAGTTCAAAGCATCATGCAAAACGTTTGACGAGTTTTTCATTTTGTACTTAGGTCATGATAGAATGAGCCGAGTACTCTCAATAAATAAATACGCAACTAACTAATCGATCCTACTAGATGATCTAAAGGGTAAATATGTGATATTCACAGTAATTTTTCTCGAAAGTCACTTTCTCTTGCAATTCAAAGTTCTTGTTAGATTTGTTCTCGTATGAAATTATTTGTAGTCATATACGAAACTTATTTTTCTTCGTTATGTGTAATAAAACCAGTCGATTATTTTAGATTCTCTTGAGTTGAGTGTAATAGTATGCAATTACATAGACTCTCAAGCTTTTTTTTATATATCATGATCAAAAACATAAAATAAAATAAAACTGTTCTTCACATGAGGAAGCGCCATAAACGGCTTGATTTAACTTTTCTTCATTATTCATGGATATTTTCTCCTGGGTGATTCATCATTACTGTACTCTTTTCACCATAGAAAGAATTACTATTTTAGCTTACGAAAAACTCGAAGACGTATGCTGAGATATGTTTCGTGTGACATACGACATATTTCTAAAATTGTTTATCCACAACCAGAGACAAAAGTTCATCAACTCAATTGTGATTGGTATCGTAAATTCATCTACAATATCATTCGATCGAGCCATTCCGTTTGAAAAAGTCAGTATTGATATTATTAAGCAAGATCAATGAACAACAAGCGAAAGTGTTACCATGTTGTAAGATCAGTACTAAATATACTAAATCTATCTCATGGACATACTTAAGCTCTCTGTTTGTCAGATCCAGATGAGACTAATCTGGTTCTGATAAGACATGGCGAGTTTTACTTAGGTAATAAGAAAAACATTTTGGCATTAGAGTCAAGCAAATTTTGACTGTTTTTCGAAATAGTCTTGCTTATATTCGAGAAATGGTAGTATTTTTGAGTCAAGTTTTTCGTAAGCTATCTGAAGATTATGGAAGCGGAATTGAATCTGATTCTGAACAAATTCATCTTGGATATATTATATCTACCTGTGAGACAAGCAACATGATGTACTGCTAGTTACACTTCGATCAATGGGTCCTTGATTAGATTTTCATAGTTATTGAAATAAAGTTTTTTTTTGCAAAGAAACTTTTTCATCGTCTTTAGTTAGTGAATAATTTATGGGATATACAGCAGGGTTATCGAATGTTTATAGATGATCTGAACTTAATTGAAATCTATCAGTAGCTGATTAAACCGAGCTGATCTAGAGAGAATAGATTCTGATAATCTCAGATTAGTCAAGCTAAATGTCTAGTATGTTTGCCTCACACAGATGTTCTTTTAAAGAGTCGTTTTGCTGAAGTATGATGATCGTTACTTTTTCCTGAACATGTGATACTATATGAAATGTTGGCTTTGGTGTTGTCAGCAGTTTTTAATTGATCTACAAGTGTCAGCCTTGATGTGCTTACTGTCAAGGTCGATGAGAAAGAGAATTTTTTTTTCTAAATCGGTCGGAATGATATCATACTACCTCATCACAACCTCGCTTTTTTCAATTATTTGATCAGTTTATCAAAAGATCATTAAAATGAATTGATACCAAATGGTTATTAGCGTATTCTCGAATGAAGTACACTTAACAACATAGATAAGAACAAGCAATATATGTCAATAGAGATAGAGAGAGGAGCGTTTTATTTATATCGTATTTCGAAGAGCTGTGATAGAACACTTTTGACAACATTAAGTAACTTACAAGCGCAGGCACAACTTTAGAGATATACCGTGCTAAATGAGTTTAGTTGAGGAGCTTGAATTGAACAGCGCGGATGCAGCTGAGCCAAGCATCATCGAACCAACAGAAGATTTCAATGAAATTGAACCGACGACCGAGGAGTTTTCAACATTGGAACATATTGCTGATAAGATACCGTTAGGTGCCTGGTTGATTGTCGTTTGCGAATTGTGTGAACGTTTCGCTTTTTATGGACTTTCTGGTCTCTTTCAAAATTACATTCAATTTCCGTTACCTACTGGAAATGATACACAACCAGGTGCACTCGATCGAGGACAACAGACTGCCACTGCATTGACGAATTTTTTTCGATTCTTTGCTTATCTCACGCCGATTCTTGGAGCTATTCTAGCCGATCAATTCTGGGGCAAATACAAGACTATAGTTGTTTCATGTGTGGTCTATATGATTGGTCTTGTCGTAATACTGCTGACCAGTATACCGCCAGCTATTCAGAAAGGCGTCGCCTTTCCTGGTTTAATCGTAGCAATGATTATAATTGGTTTCGGTACCGGTGGTGTGAAGAGTAATGTGAGTCCATTGATGGCTGAGCAATATTCTAGAAAGAAAGCAATTATCACAGGTAATTGAAAGGTCTTTTGAAGAGAATAATCCTTTTCTTGTTTCTTTATAGTAATTAACGGCCAAAAGAAAATTATCGATCCAAGCGTGTGAGTCAATTAAATGCTTATCTGTTTATTTCTTAGACGATATTGTCAATATTCTAGAACGACACAATCAATGTTCAATTGGTTCTATTGGGCAATTAATATAGGAGCACTATCATTGATTGTTACAACAAATGTTGAAAAGTATCATTCATTCTGGCTTGCTTTTCTTATACCCACAGTTGCATTCGTCGGTGCCATCGTTGTCTTGGTCATCGGTCGCGATCGATACGTTCAAATACCTCCCTCTGGTTCATTGCTCGTTCGCGCTGGTAGCGTTACAGTGACCGCCATCCGAATGCGATGGAAATTGGGCAAACAATCCGATCGTCCAGATCTTTTAGATTATGCCAAAAAAATACCAGGTTCGATCGATCATAATGAAGAACAAACGGCGATAGAATTACGCGACAATCAGTTTATTGATGATCTTAAAAAAGCAATTAGGGCCTGCCGTGTTTTTCTTTTCTATCCGTTTTATTGGATCTGTTACAATCAGTTTGGAAGCAATTTAGTATCGCAAGCAGCGCAAATGAATGTTGGTAAGTAGCTGACTTCTCTTAAAATGAACAAGAAAATAGGGCACTGTGCAATCTTCAATTTCTCGTCTTCTTTTTAGGCCCTCTGCCCAATGATATTTTGCAAAATATTGATCCGATCGTTATAGTTATTTTCATTCCCATCTTCGACAAATTCATCTATCCTGGCTTGCGACGATGTAAAATCAGTTTTACGGCTATTCCCCGTATCAGTGCGGGTTTCTTTTGTGTTTCTATTGGTATGGCATGGTCAGCCATTGTTCAACATCTAATCTATATTACTGGTCCGAATTTCGACTATGTGCCTGAGCCTGATAAGAATGATCAACAATACAACAATATTACAGTAGCCTGGCAAATTCCAGCATATTTTTTTATTGCCATCTCTGAAATTTTTGCTTCCGTTACTGGTCTTGAGTATGCATTTACTCAGGCACCAGCTACGATGAAATCCATTGTCATGTCACTTTTTCTATTCACATCGGCCATCGGTAGTATTCTGAATATTGCACTTGTACCAGTGTCAGACGACCCGAAAATACTGTGGATGTATGCAGCACTAGCAATCCAGGCACTCTTGGTCGGTATTCTGTTTTTTGTGATCTTTCGAAACGATCACAAGGTACATGTAAAAGAACCATCTACGAAATGATTTATGTCAACCTTTTTTTAACTATCTAATTTTGTCCTCTTGATGATTATCAATAAATATATATTCTTATAGCATTGATTCATGGCTCAGATATTTGTGCACCCTTTCAAAAATCCATGAAATGAAGATCATTTCGGAGCATCAATCGTCGTAGTATGAGACGAACTTCAGAGTATCTTCTCTTCCATCTCACCCTGACCCATTGACCCATTCTCAAGTCACTTCTTCTACTGATCGAATCACAGTAAGCACCAGGATAGGAAATAAACAATTACCAATGTTAGATCAAATTTCAAAACAAAATTCTGCTTTTAAAAAGTTCTTTTCTTCATACCAAAGGAATTGGTATGCGTGAAAACTGAGAAAAGTTTTCTTTAAATAGACACCTAATCGTACAGATTTTTCTACAAACAGTTCATTGAGACCGATTCAAGAAAAACATCCTTTGTTTTGTGGAAAATATTAACTAGCCTGAACATTGGATCCGCTTTACTGATGTAATGCTTAATCTTCAAGCGAATATTTGCTTGCACATGTTGTCTTTTAAGATGAGCAAAATATGAACGTTAGAGGAGGAGAGTGGCTTACAGTCGAAAACCAAAAAGAAAAGGATGATTAGTAGTTTTTCTGTGAAAATAATAACGACTAGGTTTCTAATGAGATCATCAATCGTAGTAGTGTCAGCAAGTAAGAGCTCACACATCCAATCCATAGATCTCGAATTAGCATGGAAGCTCTTTCCTCTGAAAATATCGTTCCTAGAACTCAGCAGAAGCAAAATACTGGAATCACTATCAGAAAACATGTTTTTTTCAATGGTACTCATATTATACAGACTACTGAATTTAGTAGGAACAAGATTTTGAAGCCGAAAAAATACACACATTCTAATTTGACCATAGTACTTGTAAAATTTGAGGCGACTCCGTTGTACCATTTGAGAGAAAAAGTACAGAAAGTAACATCGTTTTCTTTTAGTTCAAAAATGATTTCGAGAGAAACGAAAAACAAGTTTTCCTGTATCTATTACGATTTTTTTTCTTCAAATCAAATAATACCAACCTAACTATATTGAGTGATATGGGTGTAGTTCTTCTCCTTATCTTTATCTTTCTTTCAAAACCAAAATGTAGGGTGTGGGTGTGTTGTCTCTTCACCCATACCCTCTTCAACTGCTGTAGCCAAAGCGAATTTTAATGCTATTCGACAAATAATTGAAGATGATTCTCATTGACCATACGAATGAATAAAGGACACTCTGAGTATCATTTCGCCAGTGGTTATTTCAACTATTGGTGCATGTGTAAAGTTCTACAAAATTTTGTGCTCGACGAATAGGTTGATAACTCATTAGTGACTGAAAGTAGTGTCACATTTAGTTCGATTGTCATGTACTGAGGAGACTTGAAGAGTCCAATTTCCATCTTGCATTCTATACTATTACTAGTGATAAATCAAAGTTTTATCATAGCTGTAGGAATATCATAGAGTGGTCGAAAATTGAAGCCTTACAAACTAATTGACAAATAGTCAGGACCTAATAAATAAAAGATCGGACAAAGGAATTATGTCGAATTCTTTCACAAAACCAATATTATTAGTATCTAGTAACCGAAAGTCGACTGGTCAATAGCTGATTAACGCAAGGTTTCAAATTGCACAAGAAGAGACATAAAAGGCTAGTTTTTGTGCTCTCAATTTTCACTATGAAAATGCGAGCAGTCGATACACCTGGAATATCAACGGATTTTTTGGCAGAATATGATATGGAATCATATCCTAATATAATACATTCTATAGATCTAATTTCATACGATTTTTTTTTCTTCTTTCAAAACTCAAATATTAAGTATATGAGATTTGATTCAGCCACAACGATACCATGTTATATGTTTCTAAATAGGTCTGTGATGGTCTGAGAAAACATGATATCGAAGCCTTCTTTCATGACCTATTCCAATCAAGTGCACAACTGAATTGTGCATTGATGATGGTACCTTTCGAAGCACCAGTAGAATCAACATTTAAAAAGTTGTCCAACGGTCTGGCGAAGAAAATTTTGAGATTTGGGTGGGAGATAACAAATACCCAGCTATGCCCACACACATCCATCTATACCCACATCCGACACCTGCGTTTTTTTTTCATAGGTATTTACAGTAAAGATTTTCAAGCTGCAAGTAAAATTCAAGAAATTTTTCTAGCATATTTATTAAACAATCAACGACGTACAGCAAATTTATTATGCTTAATTGTCTTATCTAACTAATAGTGTTTTCTAAAAAAATATAATAGCACAATCACAATCTGGCACAGACAAAACAGCTGCTTTTTCATTAGTAATTCTGTCACGTATTGACTCATCGATCCCATCAATGAAAGCACTTATTCTTGCACCAACATCTAAATTAGCTATACAAATTAGCTCAGCAATTGAAAAAATGGCACAATTTTACTATATATTAAAATTGCTTATGCTGTATATTAATATAACAACTAGTATTGTTCTTAGTCAATTTATAACAGAATCAATTGGTATTGGTACACAAGGTACAGTTAAAGGTTGGTCTTGTCTACAGCATGGAATAGATTTAAGTAAAGTACGTATATGTTGTGTTGGTGAAGCTGATGTTATAATGTTAACTTATGGCTTTGAAAAAGTATGTGTTCATCTTGTACGAAGTGCTAATTCTTCCGTTTGTCGCATGATATTATTTCCAGCTAAATATTTTGATGAAGGTAATGTATTTGCACGTGAAATTGTTAAAGATCAAATTGTTTTAAGATTAAAAGATGAAAAACAAACATTGCGTAATATAACACAATTTTTTATACGTTGTTATGATCAACAACAAAATATATAATGCTATCGAACAAAAGCAACAGCACATGATTTAGCTGTTCATATGGTAAATCAATAACATTCATCATGAGGATTAACAGCAGCTTGAGATATTGACAAACGTGCATCAGTTATTCGTCAATTTAGTGAGAGTGTATTTAACAGTGCTTTTATCAACAAATGTTACATCTCGTGATAAGTTGAATTAAACAAAAACTAATAGAATTTTATAAGGTTCAAGTCTGATCAATAGTTTTTTTTTTCATGCATTTCTTCATAGTTTCATTTATCTCTATCATTCGCTTTTTTTCTCAGGCATGTTCCGAGGTCGCCAAGATTTCGGAAGTAGAGTCTGTTGGGTCCATGTCCGAAACTTTTGGAGCTGATGGACAGTAGCAGTTTGATAAATGTGTAGAATCTGCTAGTCGTTGAATACAAAAAGACGGAAAAAAGTATCTTGTATTATCTGAGGGACTATTCAGTTTCGATTAAAAAACTTCATTGATAGTATCAATGTACGTTTCGATCGAGTCCGAAAATTTTGAACAAAGCGGGCTATAGGACGGAAAAGCAATGATTCACAAGGCCGATCAGAAGATTTTCGCTAAAGTTGATCAGATTTTCAGAGAGAGAATCAAGTATTTTTTATTAGTTGCTGAGCAAAGAAAACAATTAAAAGCATCCGAAAAAAAAACTAAATTTTTTCCAGATTAAGAGGTCACTATTTCGCTTGGAACACTTTTGTTCTTTCTCTACATATTGATTATTCCTGCGATAAAAGAATTAGAATAAAATCATTGAACTCTTTTCAAGTATTGAAATCGACAATGTTTCATTATCGATTTCAATTACGACATGCAAGATGCTATTGATTATAAGCCAGATTATGAAACATATCTTCATCAAATTGATTGTTGTGGTTATTTCTGTAAATTATCTTCCTGAATCAATATTATTGAATAGAAGTCTTTTCTTTGTCTATTGTCAAGCAAGATGTTCTGTTTAATTCTTTCTGTCTTTCTTTGCCTCTTTATACGTGATGCGTTATCCAACATTAAAAAAATGAAGAAAGTTGAACATTATCTGTTCGAGGCCAAGCATTACTTGTTTCATAATCATCATGAACAAGTGATTCAGTTGTATTCATAAAATGTTCTTTTCGTAAATTTTCTACAGTTCTTTTTGTTTCGATTCTTCAATATTTGTTCAGCATGACGCTCAAATTCAAATTCATATGATCTTTTATGTTGAAGAACACTATGTATAATGGTTCAACCGAATATTCTTTTATTGTCCAATATCTTTTTGTGCATGTACCATAAAATTGATGAATACTTGATTCTTCTATTGGTTTACATCTATATAATGCAACTAAACCAAGATCTTTTTTGCATGTTGTTCACAACGATGTTCAGCAAAATATAGTTCACAATCAACACGACGACTATGTCGTTGATAAATTAAATATCTTTCTTCAATCATTTCACTTGCATGTCTATTAGGTCGATGTACCAAGATATGATTATCAAATTATCAACGTAATAATTGTTCTCAAACATTTTTCATACTGATTATCGTACGAAAACAAAAATATTACGACACAAAACCAACTTATTGTTTGTAGTTGTCTATTTGATTATTTTGTTCTTGATCTGACATGAAATATACATTTTGTTAATATACAAAAAATCTCTTCTGATTGAAAATAAAAGAGATTTTGTTTCGAAGGAGGATGGGGATAGATGTCAGCCTTTTGTCTACCTATATTTCATCGACAGCCATACCCCACACGCACACGCACAGCTCGATCAGAGCTGACCTGATCCGAGGTTAAAGATATTTTTTAGTTAATCAATGCAAGTTTTTTCGACTGTTAACAATCTTCTCACAGCATCTATACACACTTTCTAAATGTTCAAATTAAAGAAATCATTATCTCATCTAAAACCTCTGTTTATCCTGTAAGAAGTTCGAAATCGACCAATTCTTTGTGACCCAACCCGGCCGAATCTGACCCGAGGTCTGACCGGACTCGTTTTGGACACTGATCGAGAGATCCATACCTGAACAGAGTCGATAAGGCGAGTATTTCTTGTAATATTCCATGTCGATGGCATTCGATCAGTTAACCATTCGACATATTCATCGTCTAATAATGATGGAAAGACACAACATTTATGCCATCGATCGTCTGAACATTCGAACTCTAATGCTCGAAGATTTATCATCCGATTAATAAGATCAAGAATAGATGTTCGATGTTCAACTCGAATTCGAAGCACTTCACATTGTTTGACAATTAGTGAATGACATAATCTAACGCATTGGTCATCATTGAACCACCGTTCATCGTACAAACATGCATCATATTCTTGTAAATCAAGTCGACGCAACGTCGAACTTCTAATGTCAACGACAAGCATTTGAAAACAAGGCAATGAAGTAATTTTTAATGAATAAAGATGAGGTGCTCTATCAAGAAGAGCTTGTAATTGTGATCGAACTTGATTGTTTCCAACATCGACAGTCTTATACATGACATTCAATGAAATCAAATGATCGAATGTCGGAATCGTAGACCACAAACACTTCTCAGATGGAAGAATAATAGAAAGATGTCGAATATATGGGAAATGCATTTGCGATGAAGTTGATAGTTGAAATTTAGGAAGCTCATGACTGAACTGATGAACATGATTGCAAACAACATAGTCGCTCTCATGAAGACAAGTTGATTTCGTCAAGATGGTAATGATTGAATAAAACTCAGGAAAAGTATAAGGTAATGTATAAAGAAAAAGCATATGAGAATTATCATGAAGACACCAGTGACAGCAAACAAGCCATTGATGTTCATCTAGCCAGAATAAGGTTCGATATGAATCGATCAATCGATCTAGATTTTCTTCCGTATCATCATTCTTACCAAACGAAATCATCATTCGCGATTGAAAAACTTTGAGTTTTGGTAAATAATTGATAATAATTTGTTTCCATTGGTGATCATCCATTGGTATACACCAAACCGAGATTTTTAACCGGTACAAATTGGGCATATTTGACAAAAGATTTAATAACGGAAATACAACATCTTGGATAGTGATTTTCAATGTAATCATAGATGAAACAGGATATGATGTTTGTTGATTTATAGAACCACTGATCGACTTTAAACGAAGATGTTGTAGATGAGGTGTATGTTGAAACAAATGGTACAATTCACTTGAATCAAAGTAGCCCGGTTCGAGAGACACATATTTAAGTGTTCATGAAATTGCTTTTAATATCCGAAATAATAGTCTATATTGGGGTAAAATAGCACCAAGATAGCAATGGATGAGTTTAGGTAGACCCCCAAATGCTGTTGATAATCTTCTCAAATTTGTGTGTACTATCTGGACAATGACATTTAATGAAGTTGAGATGAGTGTAATAAGGAAGATGGTATAATTCATCGATTATTTGTATTGCTGTCTCATTCAAATACAAGTGACATAATGAAAGCGAACGCAATACGGTGAATTGCCGTAGAGTAAAATTATGTGAGAGAAAAACTGCAATTTGTTGCGGAGTTTCATCATCGTCTGAGATACAGAGGTCAAGAAAGGCGCGAAGAACATGACCGACGGAAAGGAATTCGAATAGATCGAATAACAATTCGTTGGATAACGATTCTAGATTCATATGTGTCTTTTATTTTTGTGCGATACTCATTTGCATCTAACAACGCTCTTTGTATTCTTAATGTTGAATAGAAAGCAAAAGAAAAACGTGAATGTTATTATTGACAAAAGTATGCTTTTGTGATTTTATTTTCATCATTATCACACTTCTTATGTAAGATATGTATGTTGAATGTCGTCTTTCTCTCTGGTCGCGCAAGACTAGTCTTTCGTGTCTTTTTTTGTTGTCTAAAATAGAAATACAAAGTGTGACACATAAGAAATAGATCAGTTACAGGAAATATTGACAAACGTCGAGCAGTATGGTATTGGCCGATGAACTTCGGAAATACATTTCAGACAACATTGTGAAAAACATAAACTCTCTAATATTATCTGATTTACTCAAGATGATACGAAACAAAGTGAAAATAACAGACAATTGTAGTAAAAACAAAAAGAGCTGAATTGGAAAATGTTGTGTACACATAAAATAAGTTTTTCGTTTTTTTTAATAACACAATATTCAGACAGTTTATCAAACTATATATATATATATTCGTAATATAATGATTAAAATATTCCGATCGATTCTTTTTCTCTGATGAATGAGCATAAAGAAGTTACGACAAAAGAAAGCATACTCAACACTACTCTAATAACTATACGTGTATTTATTTATTAATAGTGTCTTTTGTGATTGATTGTTGAAAAGACGAGGGCATCGTTAAAAGAGAGTGTGAGTGTAACTCCTCTTTTTTTTTTACATCCACACACCATCTACTCTTAATTAAATTCATAAGATACACTTTTTTCATATTTATAATCATTCTGTTCCTGTTTTGTGAAAATTATGAGTTCGATTTATGATAATCTTTACCATAGATATGATGAATGCTCAGTTATCATGATTACTTTAGTAGATATATATGTATTATATATACAGGATAGGATACGTCTATAGAAGCTAAGATGTTACCATCAGAATCCAGTGTGTACAATATTTTTCTTCGGTGAATTGAGCGTTTTATTGGCTCTTCTGCTTGCGAAATTATAAGCAGCTCAAGCAGATAATACATACATAAATGAACCTCGGACTGTTGATTGATGGTGATCAAAAACTTCGAATGAATTCAATGATAATACTTGGTCACAAAAGAAAATTTCGTATTTTCGTTGATGAAGATCTCATTTTTATATGAATATGTTATTAATGCCATAAATTGATTCTAACAAAGTCAATATCTTGCATTAAAAAAAGAATTACTACCGATACTATTTTTTAGTTGATTATAATCTGATTTTGTGGTCGTGAAATTTGAACTTATTTTAAAAATTATATAAATTCAATAAATAATTC